GGATGCTGGGGACAGATAGAGGATTAGGCACTGGCCCTGATGAGCAGAGGAGGATGAGAGAGGCTCAGAACTACAAAATGGCAATGCAGCTGATCAATGTGAGCATTAGTGTATTTAGAAAGGGCTACGGCTGCACAGAGGAGGGGCTGGCTCACTGCCCAGAAAATCCTGGAAAGGCTTGGGAGAAGGGGTGCAATGTGAGCTGGGTCTTAAACGATATCTGGGCAATCTCTGGATAGAGAAGGTGGGGAAGGCATCCCAGACAGAGAGAACAGCTTGTGCAAAGGCACAGAAGTGTGGGCATCATTGCTGAAGGAAGGGACACTTTTAGATCCTGGTCCTGCAGCAGGGTTGAGTTCAGAGCATGCTAGCCAAGGACTGGGGTGAGTCAGCAGGCCGAATGAATAACACGCAGCCTCCTTCCCCAGCCTGCATGATCTGCCCTCTGCCTTCTCTGGTCCCCTGCCGCCCCCCTGCACCCTGCCCCCACCGGGACCATTCTCCCCCTACCAGCCTTCTGTTCCTGAGATTCACCAAGCTCAGTCCTGCCTGGTTACTCCCCTGCCTAGAACACCTCCCCTCTACCCCCAACACATACTGTGGCTGACTCCTTTATGTCATTAGGTCTCCATTCAAGTGTCACCTCCCCAGAAAAGCCCTCCCTGAACACCAAAATGAAACAGCCACCTTTGATCATAATGCTCATCCTTCACTAAAAGTCTTATTTGTTGACTTGATTTTGGATCCACCCCTGCCTCTAAAAGGTAAACTCCATGAAGGCAGGGCTCATGTGTGTTTGTTCACTGCTGTGTCCCTGGTGTCTTGGAATATGCCTGACACATCGTTGGTCCCTGTGATGGTTAATTTTATGTCTCAACTTAACTGGGCCATGGGGTGCTCAGATATTTGGTCCAACATTATTCCAGGTGTGTCTGCGAGGATGTTTTTGGATGAGATTAACATTTAAACCAGTGAGCTGAGTAAATTAGATTGGCGTTCCCCAGTGTGAGTGGGCCTTGTCCTATCAGTTGAAGGCCTGAACGGAAAAAAAGGCTGATCCTCTCCCAAATAAGAGGGAATTATTCCTACTTGGCAGTCGTCAAACTGGACTTTGGGTTTTTCCTGCCTTTAGACTAGAACTGAAACATCAGGGTTTTTTTAGGTCTCAAGCTTGCTAGCCTTCAGACCACAACTACACCATTGGCTCTCCTGGGCCTACAGCTTGCCAATTCACCCTGCAGATCTTGGGACACGTCAGCCTCCATAATCGTGTAAGCCAATTTCTTATAATGCATGTCTTTGGTTCTGTTTCTATTGGTTCTGTTTCTCTGGAGAACACTCACTACTCCAGTACTCCATGAATGTGGAATGAATGAGTAAAAGAATAAATAAATCCTCTTTCAAAGGCAAGGTCTATGATAAAGAGTCTAACTCAAAAAAAAGCAACGTAGAGCCCAAGCAGGGCTTCCTGGAGCCATTCCCAGGGGCTTGCCTGTACCTGCAGGTTTCTGGGAAAGAAAGAGTGGCACTTCAAATGAAGGACTGACTCTCCTGATCATAGCCTGGGCTTGAGCTTCTCTTCATTTTAACTTCTCCCTTCCCTTTTCCTCTGCTGCATCAGGAATGGCATCCCTGGACCAACCAGCACTTCCCAACATGACTGGATGAACCGCTGGGCTAGAGTGTGGTCCTTCCTGGTGCATCCTTGTGCAAGATAATAATTCTTCACCAGCCCTGAGTCAACCAGACCCGGGTCAGAGAGCCAGCTCAGCCAGGATGTCAATAAAACATAGAAAGCTGACATGTAAAGGTTTTCCCTTTCATATTTCCTCTTAACATTGCTCACAAGGTTTCAAAAGCACAAGTATGACCAACTTTCTTGAGCCGCTACCTCCCATGATGATGTTTGTCACAAAGCATCCCTAAGCATCTCCATGCAATGTCCCCATGCATTGTCTCCATGCAGTGTCCCATGCAGGGATCCTGCAGATAGTCCCTTTTCTAACTTCATAACTACCTTTTTTAAAATGCTGTATATCAGGAACTGAGCTAAGCATTTCCCATTACGATATCTCATTTGATCCTCAAGAGAACTCTAGATGTGGGATCTGTAACACAGTTCTCTGGGTGGCCTTAGACCAAGCCAGTTCTCACTCCTTTTCTTATCTGTAGTTCTCAAGAATAACTGCAGGACGTGCTGGAAATAAAACATCCTGAGATAAGAGGAGAACTGGCCAGGACAGTCCAGGCTCTGTTCCGATCCCTCCCTAGAAAAGAGATATCCTTCAATGCTTAGCCCAGAGGGTCTTGTAACCCCGAGGTATAAAACTCAGTGTGGGCTGCTTTCTGAGGTCCCTCAGCTGCTATGAAAGTGGAGCACATGCAGTTGAGACTCCATCCACCCAGGCAGCTTTCCTGAACCTTGGAGGACTGGGTGGCAATGAATCCTCGGTTTCTGTTGTCCCTTGCTGCCTGCCTACCTGTAAGTAATAAACTTGTTTCAGTTAACTTGTTGTGAGCATGGGTGTTCTCTCTCACCAAACTCAGATCAGTTGGTAACCAGTGCATAGGAAACCTTCTTTACAGTGTCTATTAATAAAGAAGGGGAAACCAAGGAACAAATATGTCATTTGTTAAAGACCAGAGAGCTCATGAGTAGCAAAACCTGCACTGCTAACTACTATGTATGTCCTATGGTGGCCCTGTTGCAGAGAAGAAAAGAATCATCTGAATCAGAGGACAATATTTTAATCCAAAGGCTACGTGGCTACAGGTTGAAAGCAGAAATCAGACCTTTCCACAGGTGCAGGAGCCACTGGGCCATCATCCATCAGCAGTGGGAGATGGCATTGGCAACCAGGGCTGAGGTTTGCTGGGAGCCAAGCTCGGATTCAGCAGCCGCATCTCATTTTCCTGAGATCATAGCAGAAGCTCTGCTCCTCTGCCTGTCAAGTCATCAATTCTGACCCTGGCATCCAGCTACAAAAGTGATTTTACAGCATCTTGGGGATATTGTGTAAAACCAAATTTAGGCATCAGGACAGTTAAAGGACACCCCACCCTCTTGCTATTACCTGGAAGGAATTTGCTTTACCTCTTTTCTCTGAGATTACATATCCATTCCAAAGCTCTAAAATCTTGCAGACAAATGGGAGGCATGCGTGGCACTGGTGAGTCTGGGGTCTGCCCTAAAGAGCCAAACATTTTAAGAGAAAATGTTGAGAAAGGACCTCAGTACTTGGAATCTGAAGACTTGGATTTGAGTCTTCAATATGTCACATGGTCTTTCTGGGTCTCAGCTTCCATTACTCAAAAACAGTAGCAATGTCTCCAGCAGCATCTACTTTAACTGCTTGGCTGTCCATGCTCCTGGGAAACTGTAGAGGTCAGTCCAAGGTCAAGAGTATCCATCCTTAACAACCCAGAACCTCTTTCACAAGCCAAACAGAACCTAATTGTTGGAAGACAGCCAACTCTCACTCCAAAAAATAGCAATGTGTTCTATTGAAAATGCAATGTTTTAATAGTTTAATTTCTATGCATTTTAGCTTTGGAGATTAATTTCAAGTTTGGAAAATTAATTTTTTTAATGTAAATTGGCTTTGACTGTGAAAGAGCTGAGATGAAGTTCTGGGGTGTGGCCTCCAATCATAATGACCATCATTTGCATATCAATGGCCTCTCACTTCATTTGCTGCCTTTGCCAACCTCCGAGCTTAGATGGCTCAAGACAGAATGGAAATATGGGAGCAATGCTAGTCGTTCTTCCTTTTCAAAGGTTTAAATACAGGAAGTGCTTTGAAATAAAAATTTCCCCCATGGACTTTTGATGTCAGACTGAGCAGATAAAATAGATGATATTTTATCAAACTTACCAAGATTATAAGAGAGTATGGAATAAATTCCTTAATGCTTGCATGGGTGCACATGCCCTTTGGAATTCTCATTGGGCCTCCTAGAGATTATTCATGCACCCCCAAATATTTATTGACAGTTTACTTAGTGCCAGGCACTGTGCTATGTAGTAAGGCTACCCAGAGGAAAAGACAGATGTGATCATTGTCCTTTGGAGCTTGGAAGCAGGAGATCTGAATGAAATGTTGAACAACTATAGAAATATAATTTGTAATAAGGGCTCAGAGTAAAAACTAGAGTATTCTAAGAGTGTATAAGAGGGGGCGTTGATGAGCAAAGGGACTAATGAGCAAAGACATGAAGGAAGAACACACGTGAAGAGAATGTGTGTGTGTGTGTGTGTGTGTGTGTGTGTGTGTGTGTGTCTTGGGAAGAAGGAAGGGAGAGGAATTGTTTGGGGTTTAAGAAACAGAAAGACAGGGTAGCAGCAGTGCAGAGAGCAAGAGGAAGGATGGTATACTCAATGCTATAGACAGTGGCCAGGAGCCTTGGAAAAGATTTTTTTCTTTTTTGAAAGAACAGTAAGAATCCATTAAAGGATACTAAGTAGGGGGACAGGTGATCAGATTTACACTCTTAAGAGATATTTTGATTGTTGTATGGAGATGAGATTCAGAAGGGAGTCTGCGTGGAAGCCAAGAGATCCATTAGGAGGGTGTAGTAGAATCGTGGCTTGGACTAAGCTGGTAGTAGAGTAGATGGAGAAAATGAATGGATTTGATAATTATTTAGGTGATCAAAACAGTGAGACTTGGTGATGGACTGGCTACAGGAGGAGGGGGAAAAGAAGCTGGCATCAAGGATATGTCCAGGTTTCTAGCTCACATAAATGAGTGGGTGGTGGTGTCACTCATGGAGATGCACTCATGCTGGGGGAGGGCATTGGTGTAGAGACTCAAGAGTTCAGTGTTGAACATGTTAACATGAGGGACCTTTGAGACCACCTGTGAGATGAAAGTAAGTAGCTGAGTATCAGGACTGTGTTTAGGAAAGCAGGCTGGGCTGGAGATGGACATGTGAGAACCGTCTTAGCCTTGGACTGAGCTACGATTAGATGGTGTCAGAAAAGTGAGAAGCCTTTTCCTGTGCCCTTTTAAGGTTGACACAGTGCCTTAAGAGCCTAACACAGAAGTAAGTAAGTTTCCATAAAACCCAGAGACGATATTGCAAAATTCCTCTTTGGATCCTGTCTGGAGTCACAGCTGAAAAAAAAAAGAAAAGAAAAAGAAGAGGAGAATACAAAATGAGCCTCAGGCAGCTCCAAAATTCCTCCTCTGTAAAACTGTCTCCACCACAAGTTGTGGCCCTTGGCCCATGCAGTTCTTCTGGTGCCGTGTGTGATATATTTGCACCTCACTGCTGATGGACTTTTTCTCTTTTCCAGTCCAAACCTTTCTTTTTACACTCTGATTGGATAATTTCATATCTTTTGTTTTCAAGCTTGCTAATTCTTTCCTCTGTTTGATCAAGTCTGCCATTGAAGCTATGTAATGAGTTTTTCAGTTCAATTATTCTAGTCTGTATTCCTAGAATTTCTATCTGATTTTGTTTAATTATTCCTATTTCTTTGTCAAATTTCTAATTTTGTTCCTCGATTATTTTCCACTTTTCTTTTTTTGAGACGGAGTCTCACTCTGTTGTCTAGGCTGCAGTGCAGTGGCATGATCTCAGCTCACTGCAACCTCCGCCTCCTGGGTTCAAGCGATTCTCTTGCCTCAGTCTCCCAAGTAGCTGGGATTACAGGTGTACACCACCACGCCTGGCTAATTTTTGTATTTTTAGTAGAGACAGGGTTTTGCCATGTTGGCCAGGATGGTCTTGAACTCCTGACCTTGTGATCTGCCTGCCTTGGCCTCCCAAAGTGCTGGGATTACAAGTGTGAGTCACCACACCCACCCTGTTTTCCAAGTTTTATTTAATTTTCTATTTGTATTTTTTTGTGATTCACTTAACTTGTTTAAGAGGATTCTGAATTCTCTGTCTCACATTTCATAGATCTTCAATTCTTCTGGGCCTGTTGTTAGAACTTTGTTGTTGTTGTTGTTGTTGTTTTGGTGACGTCATATCTTCCTGAGTTTTCTCAATCTTTGTATCTTTACACTGATGTTTGCCTATCTGAGGAAACAGGCACCTCTTCCAGTTTTCGCAGGCGTTCTTTGCTTGTGTTAGACCTTTACTACTTAGTACGGGAATTTAAACACTGACCTGTTGTTTCTCCCCATTTTGGGGAGGACTTACAATGGGCACCAGAACTAAAACACTGCACTGGAGCTAAAGTGTTGCTTTGTCATTGTTTCTTGGTCTAGGGAAAACTTATAGTAAGCACAGGAGGCTAAATGTTGCCCCAGAACTATATGGCCACCCTGCCATATGGGAAAGACTTAAGCAGGTACTGGAACTTAATCCTAACCTTTTAGTTGTCTCTGGGCCAAGAAAACGCCTTCTGCAAGTACCTGGGCATTGTGGAAAATCCAGCCAGGCATTTGGGCCTTTCCACGGAGTGTGCCCCGTGCAGCACTATGGCTCCAGCCAGTCTCTTCAACATGGCATCCCCGCCAATCAGAGCACAGAGTAGCCACCAAGATCCAAGTGCCAATCAGCATCCTGCTGTTTGTCTCTAAGTCATCCCAGGTGGTTCAGCCCTCCCAGCACTTCCAGTGGTTCCCACGGGACAGAGTTGGCTTCCCTTGAAGATTCCCAGACCATAGAGAGATCAAATGTCCACCTCTAATTCCCTCCTCTAACTCCTGAAACAATGCATTGGGGTAAATTCTCTGTTCATAGCATTCTGCCTGGTTAGGGGAGGGGACAGCACAGTCTGAAACGATGACTTCCCTTACGGGTCACAGATTCTCTCAGTTCTATGGGTCCAGGGTTTTCTCTGCTTCTCCTCCAAGTGCTGGTGTGTTGGTGAACTCAGGGTGGTATTCTGGTCTTGAATAGTTTTTAGTTGTATTTTTCTGAGAGGAGTGATGCCAAGGGACCTTCTACTCTGCCATCTTGGTGACATCACACCAGTCCAAACTTTTCATCAACACATCATCTACATAGTTTGTATTCTTGCTAAGGATGTACAGTCTGAATCTAATTATCAGAAAACGATCAGACAAATTGAGATTATGGAGCAATATACAAGTCAAGTAGTGTGGCACTTTCAAAAGTGTCCATTTCATTAAAGATAAAATGAAATTAAATTAAAATAAAAAACAAGGAGACAGGCCAGGCGCAGTGGCTCATGCCTGTAATCCCAGCACTTTTGGAGGCTGAGGTGGGAGGATCACCTGAAAGGTCAGGAGTTCCAGACCAGCCTGGCCAACATGGTGAAACCCCGTCTCTACTGAAAATACAAAAATTAGTTAAGCACAGTGGCAGGCGCCTGTAATCCCAGCTACTGGGCAGGCTGAGGCAGGAGAATTGCTCGAACCCCAGAGGTGGAGGTTGCGGTGAGCCAAGATTTTGCCACTGCACTACTGTCTGGGCAACAGAGTGAGACTCCGTCTCAAAAACAAAACAAAAGAAACAAGGAAACAGTTCTGGAATCTTGACTTAAGGAAACCAAGAAGACATAACAACCAAAGGAATACATGACCCTTGATTGGATCCTCCTAAATTGAAAGGAAAAAATTATAAGGGTTATTTTAAGGACAGTAGAGAAAACTGAAACATGGTTATATTAGATAATATTATTGTATCAATGCTAAATCTCTTGGGGGTGATCATGCTATTGGAGTTATGCAGGAGAATGTCCTGGTTCTCAGGAGGTATGTACTGAAGTGTTTGGGAATGACATGTTTGCAACTTTCAACTGGTTCAGGAAAGAAAAAAAAGAATATACAGATAGAAATGATACAAATATGGGAAGGTTTTAACAAATTGGAGACTCTAAGTGAAAAGTATATGGGTATTCATTGTATTACTGTTGTAAATTTTCTTTAAGTTTTAAATTTTTCAAGAGAAAAAGTTAAAGAAATTGCAAAGACTTCTAAGACCAACTATCCAGAGTTAGGCCAAACTTCACAAGCTACGGATATAATCTTCCACAAGACACAAGACTGTCCTCGCTTCAGACACCAGCTGCAAGTTTGGGGATCCCCAGGCCACTCTCACATCTGACCAAATGGCTACAAACTCGGGAGTTCTCGTTACCCCCTCAAGTTTGATAATTCACTAGAATCACTCACAGAACTCAGGAAAGTTCTGTCCTTACAATTATAGTTTTATTATAGCACAAGGATATGAATCAGAACTAGCCACAAGGAGAATACATAGGCCAATGTCTGAGAGGGTTCCAGATGCAAAACTTCCATTGTCTTCTCCTAGTGGAGTCAGGGCTCATTGCCCTCCCCGCATGTTAATATGTGACAATACACAAGGTACTGCCAATCAAGGAAGCTCACCTAAATTAGTGTCCAGAGCTTTCATTGGGGTCTTACTTTGTAGGCGTGATCGATTGAATCACTGGCTATGCCCCACCTGCTTCCCCTCCTCTGAGGAGTGATATCACATGGCTAAAAGCCCCATTCCTCTAATCACACCATGGTTCTTCCTAGTGTGGCCTGCTCCCATCCTGAGTCATCTCATTAGCTTAAACTATCGAGGTCCACTACCATGCAAAACAGAGACACTCCCCTCATTCAGAAAATTCCAATTATTTACAGGTTATCTACCTTCTAAGAACCCAGGACAAAGGCAAGCCAACTTTTTCATTTTTTTTTTGTCCAGGCTGAAGTGCAGCGGCACAATCTCAGCTCACTGCATCCTCCACCTCCCGGGTTCAAGCAATTTTCCTGCCTCAGCTGGGATAACAGGCACCTGTCACCACGCCCAGCAATTTTTTTTTTTTTTTTTTTGTATTTTCAATAGAGATGGGGTTTCACCAAGTAGACCAGGCTGGTCTCAAACTCCTGACCTCTGGCTATCTGCCCACCTCGGCCTCCCAAAGTGCTGGGATTATAGGCATGAGCCACTGCCCCTGGCCCAACTTTTTTATTACACAGAATTAAGAGTTTAAAAAATTCATATATGCAAATATTTAAAACATCCATCCAGCACCACAGTAGGTGGGCCTAGAGCACTAGAATTAAAAAAGAAAAAAAAAATAACTGCTAGACTCCAGGGATATTGTTTCAGCTCCATGCTCCCTCCAAACAGCAGCACAATCTTGCATCTTGAATTTGAAGAGGCCACTCAGGTGTCTCAACAATTCCCATTTCAAAGGCATTAGGATAAGTCATTTCACTTTTCTACACCGGGCCAGCCACAAACAGTAAATATACAGTTGTGTAGGAGTGACAAATGAAAGGAAATAATTTACATCTCTTGCCCAATACTTCCCAATTCAATTTACTATGCCAAATTCTTATGATAATCACAGCCTATACTACTTCAGTCAAATCAGATCCCTCTAACTCTCCAACCCAAACAGGGAGGAAGTCAGGATTCATGAGCAGTGTGAAAAATCACTGTATAATTGCAAATTAGAACCATAATCAGCCCTCTGGACCCTGAGCCCTCTTCATCACTATGCTGTGAACCAAGATGACTTCTTGTGAATATATCTGCAGGAGAAAAACGCCAAAGCACTGACAGAGAGCAAACCCTTGTTCCTAGACCCAGTGGAGAGAACAGAGGGAAGAAATGTCTGTAAAAAAATGAAATGGGGAGGCTTGTTATTCAACAAATGGGGGCTCTAGGAGATCAGTGTTCTCTCTACAGCTCGTTTTTAATTATTTACTTTTTTATTTTATTTTTTGAGATAGAGTCTCACTCAGTCGGTCGCCCAGGCTGGAGTGCAATGGTGCGATCTCAGTTCACTGCAACCTCTGCCTCCCGGGTTCAAGCGATTCTCCTGCCTCAGCCTCCTGAGTAGCTGGGATTACAGTGTGCGCCACCACACTCAGCTAATTTTTTTGTATTTTTAGTAGATGGGGTTTCACCATGTTGGCAGGCTGGTCTCAAACTCCGGACCTCATGATCTGCCTGCCTCAGCCTCCCAAAGTGCTGGGATTACAGGCATGAGCCACCGTGCCCAGCCACTAGTTTATTTTTAAATACGAAAGTGATGACTGGGCATAGTGGCTCATGCCTGTAATCCCAGCACTTTGGGAGGCCGAGGCAGGTGTATCACCTGAGATCAGGCATTCAAGAACAGCCTGACCAACATGGTGAAACCCTGGCTCTACTAAAAATACAAAAAATTACCAG